TGCCTCTGTGTGTTCATGGTGGCCCTTCAACTGGTGGGGCTTGCTCTGTCAAGCAACACCCAGCCTGTGACATGTACTCGGCTTAGAGACGAACCCACTCAGAACAGAGCTAACTGGGAAAGTTGGTATAAATCAAATTGTTTGAAAGAGAGCACTTGATATGAAGAATCCTGGGGCAAGTTCTTTTTTGTTGTTTTGGGGTTTTTTTTAAGGGAACAGTTGCTCCCTAGGTGCTCATTCACATATTTAATGGCTCTAGTTAAAAGAGGAACACTAAGCCCCTCTTCCTTTCTCCAACTTGACCCAAAGTGGGAGCAGTCTGAGCAGGAAGGGTCAGATGGGACAGAGTTAGCGTTACCTTCTTCTTGATGTGAGTATATTTTTATGGTTGGGCAAGAGTAAGCCAAGCCTACATCATTCCTAATTATATCCAGTAGATCATGTGGCTTCTGCAAGTCCTGGGAACTAATGTTATTGTTAGATGCTACGGAGTCTGTTCCACCTCATTGAGACCCTGTGCACAACAGGACGAAACATTGCCTGGTTCAACGCCATCATCACAATCATTACTATGTTTGAGCCCATTCCTGCTGCCACGGTGTCATTCCATCTCACTAAATTGCTTCCTCTTTGTTACTGACCCTCTACTTTACCAAATATGACATTCTTTTGCAAGGGCTGATCCCTCCTGATAGTGTGTCCAAGGTGTATGAAACGAAGTCTTACCATCTTCACTTCTAAAGAGCATTCCAGGTGTACTTCTTCCAAGCTGGATTTGTTCAGTCATCTGGCAGTTCATGAACTACTCAGTATCCTTTGCTAACATAATAATTCAATGGCACCAATTCCTTGGACTTCCTTACCCTTTGTCCATCTATCACATACATATAACGCAGCTGAAAATACCATGGCTTAGGTCAGGCACACCTTAGACCTCTAAGTGACATGTTTGCTTTTTAGCACTTTAAAGAGATCTTGCTGTAGATTTGCCCAGTGCAGTATGTCATTTGATTTCTGGACTGTTGCTTCCATGGGCATAGATTCTGGATCTAAGTAAACTGAAATCCTTGATAACATCAATCTTTTCTCCATTTATCATGATGTTGTTTATTGGTCCATTTGTGAGGAATTTTGTTTTCTTCCTGTTGAGTTATAACTCATATTAAGGACTATAGTCTTTAAGCTAATGGAGAATTTTAATCATAAGGTCCAGATGGACCCATGGGCATCCAGAAACGTCTTTGGCTCGTATGTACAGATGTCCAGGATGGGGAGGATTGAGCTCATTGTCTGTTGTCTGTGCTCAGATGCCTCTTCTCACTCACTTCAATTTCCCAGCAGAGGCCCCTACCCTGACATGGAGCTCCTGGCATCCAGGACCGGTGTAGAATTTGTGATCTGAGAGCAGGGAGGCCCCACGTGGAGTAATAGATTTTTTAGAGCTAATGACTCAGGAGACAGTGCTAGTGCAACCCAGAAGGTCATATTCCTCCATCTCAACTAAGGCTGCTTTGCAAAGGAGTAAGCTCTCATTGGAAGGGTCCAAGCAGAGCCCCCTCCACTTCCAGGGGATTAGGAGGAATGATATGGAAATCTTGAATATATGGAGTCCTGGTGTGGCACTGTAGGATAAGCACTGGACTATTAATGTTAACTATTCCTCCCAAACCCTATACAGGGTCACTATGAGTCAGAATTGACTCGAAGGCACTTCACAACAACAACATGGAAATGAGGAATTGGCCTTCCATAGAGTATTATAAATGACCACCTGGCAAAATGCAGGCAGGGTTCTGCCCGGTTCCCCCGGCCTGGGGTCATGTTTTCTTCAACATTATTGATGTTGTAAAAATCGTTTGTCTTCAGCAGTCATTGACTTCACATATCCCTAATGATCTTTGTTCAGTTTCTATACATCCTGCAGTGTTTTACATAGAATTTGGAATGAATTACCATGGCTTTGTTTTTAATTTGTTCCTTTCAGATGTGTCTGTCTAACTTCTCATCCTAAGTGATAAACTTATGTGGCTTCAGGGTAAGAGCATAAGTTGTCAGACAGATAAACAGGACTATGAAGGGTCACCTTATTTAGACTCACAAAATATCTTTTTCTGTCTTTCCAGAAATACCATTTCCATGAAAATTGCTAATGGTGCATTTTAGACCATCTTACCCTAATTCAGGTTTGTATGTAAACTTTTAAGTCACCTTGAGGGGTCACCTGACAAGCTTATAATTCTAGCTGACTATCCCTGTCTCAGGATAAATGGATACCTTTTTAAATTAATACAGTCCAGAAAGGACAAATAAAAAAGAAATTATTAAAAAAAAAAAAAAGTACCCTCTCTTGATCCAGCGTCATCTGATTCCAGCCCCCTGTCTAGAGGCTGAAGTAAATGGAATAAAGGGTGCCAGACAGCACAGCCATTTGAACTGCAAGGTTGGCAGTTCAAGCTCACCAACTGCTCCTCGGCACCCCTATACAGTGTCGCAATGGGTCGGAACCGACTTGACAGCACTTAACAACAGGAGCCAGCTATCATGACCCTACAGAGGTCATTGAAGATTTTCAGGAATGGAGCAAAAAAGTAAAAACTGAGAGCTCCCGGCTTCTTCCCATAGGTATGTAAACACAAAACTAAAAATTCAAACCCAGTGTCATCAAGTCAATTCTGACTTCCAGTGGCACTGTAGGGAAGCCTCAAGGTCCCAAGTCTGTGACTCTCTGTGGAAGCAGTGTGCGACAGCTTTTCTCATAGATTGGCTGGTGGATTCAAATCATTGAATTAGTTAGCCGCTGAGTGCTTACCACAGCACTACATGGACTCCTTGTTGGAAACAGCTCGCCGTGGAACATCTTCATCTGCAGTTTATTGAAAGGACCACAAGGGGAGACTGTGGCTCTGTGAAACTCTGTGTCTCTGCCCTCTTCTCCTTCGCTCTTCACAAGAAGCCCAGGTTCTAGAGTCTAGCAGTCCTGGATTTGAATCTCTGAGCTTTTGTGTATTTATGCTCTAGATCTCCTACCACACCTGCAAATGGGCTGATTCATAGCAACAGTGTTTGTAATAGCAAAAAATTGGAAATCACCAACTTTCTCTTACTCAGGGTCTGCTAAAATAGCTATAGTGCATCCTTAGAGTGGAACACAGTACTAGATAGAGGTAAAGAAGGAAGAGGAAGCTTTCTGTGTATTGCTAAGGAACCATCTCCAAGATGCTTTGTTGGGGGAAAAAGGCAAGGTTCTAAACAGTATGTCTTGTACAGTTTTCTCCTTGTATTTAAAAGACAGTGGGGGGATGGAAGTGTTTGTTTATCTGCATATGTGTCAAGAGACAAACATGAAAACTAATTAGATTTACCTGTTTTTGTGGGAGTTGTTATGTGCCGTGGAGTCGGTTCCAACTCATAGCAACTTTGTACAGGGTTTCCGAGGCTGTACATCTTTACAGGAGCAGAAAGTCTCATCTTTCTGCCATGGAATCGCTGGTAGTTTCAAACTGCTGCCCCTACTAGTTTGCTAGATTGGTATGAAAATGTGGCTGCTCTGGCTCCTTTGCTCCTTCCTGGTCGGGTGACCTGTTCCACTGATTCCGCCTCAGATACACACGTATACACCATGCGCTGTCACAGATGTCTGCATGCCTTGACTCATTTAGGTGGAGGAATGAGGGGCAAGGACAGAGAAAGACTTAGGGCTGCAGCTCATGATCTGAGCCATGTGACTTACTGCCTACTCCTCCCCCAAAGTTTTTTTTTCCTGACTAGTTCCTGCTGCCTGTAGTGGTCTGAGAAGTGAGCGAGAGAGCTCATGTGAGTGAGTGTGTTCTCCCAAGTCCCCAGTGGTGAGTCTGGACCTCAGGTGTCCAGTCTAGTCTGAGACAGTTTCATGACAGACTGTGCCCACCCAGGCTCTGGTTCCCCTCCTGTGAGTCAAACAGAAAGAGGATGCACCCACGGGTCCCCGACTGCTGCCAGCACCTCCTCTTCACATGTCTGTGGCAGTGCGGCTATTTCTATCTAGGTTTGAGCTTTGAGGTTAACCAGAGTGCAAAGCAAGCAGCCACAGACAACATGAGTAAGGTCTCACAGTTCCCTTGTCTCCTCCAAACCCTCCCAAAATTGATCTTTCTCCTAACAGGAGAAATTTTGGCCCACAGACCACCCTCACCCCCCCCACCACCCCACCACCCCCCCAGTGCTTGCAGCTAGTACCCTTGCTGTTGCACTTAGCTGTGGTTGGGCTTCCTCCAATGTCTCTGAGACTCTTCATATTGGTATGGTTGTATTTCCAGAAATATGTTTTCTTCATCTTGCCCTGTGTTCCCTTTCCTGCCTGCTGGCTACCTGATTCCCTGTCTCACACACACACTAGGTGAACATTACTACCGTTACCCACCTGGGTGTCCCTCCAAGCCCAAGATAAGCATGATCCAAGCTGGTGGGAGTTACTGGCCATCCTCTGAACAGGTGTGGTTTCTGTATTTGGGATCATTATTTGCAAGGCTCAGCCGAGGACTGGGCATGCCCCAACTTGCTGAGCTCTAGAGCCAGGTCTGTTCCACCTGCCAACAGGGACGTTGTGACAACAGACCCAGGGGAGGGCCCAGGCTGGGGCCTCTTACCCAATGGGATCGGGCCAAAGGGACTGGGGCAGAAGGTGACTTTAGGCAGGGCCCAGACCTTGACCCTGACTTAGACCTGCAATGACCCTCCTGGGTGCTTGTTGCTGGGAATAGTAGCTCCACTATAAAAGTGGACAAAATTATGTGCTTTGTCATCCTTAAAGGTTCTGAGGCCAAGAAATTAGGAGATACACCTCAGTCCTTCTCTGAAAAAGTGGCCACTATGTGTCTCTTTCCTTCTGTGAGCAAAGCATTTTCTTTAATCAATGACAAGTAAGATTGCTTGGATACAAATGCAGATTTATTTTCTTCTCTCTCTTTCCTCTGTTTTGTAGGGAGCTGAAGGCTTTAGGGACCTGACTTAGGGGCTGCTCAATGGCCCTGGGTGAAGAAAAGGCAGAAGTGGAGGCGTCCTTGAACCCAAAGGCCTGGCCCTGTGGGAGGTGGAGCTGCAGGGAGCAGGAGATGGACACTCTGGGGCCAGGGAGTGAGGAGCAGCCACCACGCCTGGAAGCTGAGGGAGGGCCTGCCTCCCCTGTGTTGGGGACAGAGGGGCTGCCAGCCCCTGACTGCTGGGCTGGGACCGAGCCTGGCAGCCCCTCAAAAACCCTCCAACTGCAGGTCAGCAGCATCAGCAGAGAGGTGGTAGCTGGTGGGTCTAATCCTCCGCCTGGCTGCCTAAGTCCTGCTGGTATGAGGACAGGAGACTTCCTGCACTCTGTGAGAAGCCAGGTAGGTACTAATGCCAGTGGAACCACCGCAATTTACCAACCAGTGTTACAGTTATCCTTTGGGATTAGGTGAGGGGGCTTCAAAAAATTTGTGAAAAATAGAATGAAAAGATAATCGAATTTTTCCATGAAGTGTTTTTTTATTTTAATGTTGACTGGTTAATGGAGAAGCTTATTTTGGGCGGGGGGGAGGGTTTGGACAGGAATGAGGGATAGGGTAAGATGATGGCAAGGTATAGGCAAGACCTAGAACTTCATTTAATGTTAGGGCTATGGTTAGAACTAGGATTAGGATTAGGGGTTGCATTAGGGCTAGGAGTAAGGCTTAGTCTAGTTTTTAGAGTTACAGTTAGGTTTGTTAATATTTTCTTGAAATTGACTTGATTTTCTCTTCATTTGGAAGTTTTGTACATATATTATTCCGCCTTTTACTTTATGTTATTTTCAGTCTTGTATGTCTGTTTCCTCTCTGGGATTGAGTTTCAGGTGATATTGTCATGTCTGATTTTGAAGCCCCCTTGTGCTTTGTATTTTCTCCTCCTGTCACATACTTTCCCAGTCACTGTGTAGTCAAGGGTGGTGGGGAGCCTGGATATCCCGATTGCTGTGTGACAGGAAAGCTGAACCATGGGCTAGGGTCAGTTAGTGTAGACTGGTGGGTGACCTTTAGAGGACTGAGGATTCCATGGCAAAGAGCCTGTTACCCAGAATGGCTTGGGCACTCTGGTTTGGTGAGCTCAACAGTGAGACTGGGGTGCAGGTGCCCAGGCTTTGTTGCTCCTGAGGGTTCAGTGACTTATACCCTCAGGGTACCTAGGGAGCTCGTCTGAGCCTTGGAACCCCTGTGGCAGCCCTGCTTCTGGACAAGGGGAATTTCCTTCTCTCTCTCCTAGCGTTAGCTTCCTCTTAGTTTTTTTTGTGTGTGTTGTTAGATGCTGTTAAGTCGGCTGTGACTCATAGTGACCCTATATACACCAAACTGCCCACTCCTGCACCATCCTTACAGCTGTTGTTAAGCTTGAGCCCACTGCTGCTGCCACTGTACCAGTCCATCTCGTTGGGGGTTTCCCTTTTTCACTATCTGTCCACATTACCAAGCGTGATGTTCTTCCTTCTCCAGGGACTGGTCCTTCCTGATAATATAGCCAAAGTATGAGAGCCGAAGTCTGGCCTCCTGGATTCTAAGGAGCATTCTGACTATACTTCTTCCAACACAGATTTGTTTGCTCTTCTGGCAGTCCATGGTACTTGCAGTGTTCTTCTACAACATCATAATTCAAAGGCTTCAATTCTCCAATTGCATGCTCATTGTCCAACTTTCACATGCATATAGTGGTGGTGATGGTGGTTATGTGCCAGTCAGTTCCGACCCTTAGTGACCCTGTATAGGGTTTCCGATGCTGTAAATCTTTATGGGAGCAGAAAGCCTCATCTTTCCTTCATGGACCAGCTGGTAGTTTTGAACTTCTGACCTAGAGGTTACAAACCTGATTTGTAACCACTGTGCTACCAGTGCTCCTTCTCGTGCATATGCGGTGATTGAAAATACCATGGTTTGGGTCAGGCATACCTTAATCCTCTAACTTGCCCCTTGAACACTTTGAAGAGCTCTTATGCAGCTCCTTTGCCTAGTACTGTAGGTCGTGTGATTTCTTCACAGCTGCTCACATGAGTAGATCCAAGTAGAATGAAGCCTTTGACAACGTCAATCTTTTCTCCATTTATTATGATGTTATTTATTGTTCTAGTTGTGAGGATTTTTGGGTTTTTTTACATTAAGGTGGAACCCATACCGAAGGCTATGGTCTTTCATCTTCATCAGTATTTTAAATCATCTTCATTTTTTAGCATCTTCTTCACTTGTATCATCTGCGTATCTCAGGTTATTTATGAGTCTTCCTCCAATCCTGATTCCATGTTCTTCTTTACATAATCCAGCTTCTTGGATTATTTGTTGAGTATAAAAATTGACTAAGCATGATGAAAATACAGCCCTGGTGCACACCATTCATGATTTTATATTTTTTGTGTATGTTGTTGTTAAGTACCATCGAGTTGGCTCTGACCCATAGCAACCCTGTAGAGGGTTTCCAAGGAGCGGCTGGGGAGTTTGAACTGCTGACCTTGTGGTTCCAACCGACCTTGCAGTCCAATGCTTTATCCTACAGCATCACACCAGGACTCTTTTTGTAGTGTTTTATATATTTAAAATTTTTTGTCTTGTGAATTAGGTGCAGGGTTACTGAACAAATCATCAGTTTTACATGTAATAGTTCATAGACATTTTGTTTCATCTCCTTGATTGCAGTCCCGTGATGTAACATCACATATCCAACACCCTCCCTGTGTTTCCTGTTTTCTTTCCTATTCCACATTTTTTCCTGCTCTATCCAGGACCTTTCAGAGCCTTTGATAGTGATAGTGATAGTTGGAGCACCATCTCGCTCTGGTTTCGGTCATGGATCCTGATGTGCACGTGGTCTATCCATCACTGGACTCATTGTCTTCTGGACAGGGAGAGAACAAGAGTTGCACCTTAGATGGCCACTCTGGAGTTTTTAAGGCTTGAATCACTAGTCACTGAAGTAGGATGTCCACCACTGTGCGTGTAGCCTATGTTATTACTTTGGTGTCCTAAGGGCAATTTCTTGGGCCTCCTTGATAAAAATGCAACTTTTTTTCATGGGAGTCAACTGGGACAGGGGCTTCTACCAGGTTCTGAGGCCTCAGGCAGGTCACTGAACCTTTCCACCCTCATATAATCAGGGAATGGCCATATGATCTGTCCTTCCCAGTCCTGACATGTGTATGTCCAGCTTGCCTTTCCTGGGAATAGCTTTGATTTTCTCGTTGTCATTGTGACCTTGGTTGCTGCCAGCTCCCGCCACAGAGCCCCATCCTGTGAGGAAGCTCAGTGCATGACTGTTGGGGAGAGAACAGAGGGTCAGTCCACCTGATGGACAGTAAGGGTTAATGGGAGGTCCGGGCAGCTGTGAGTCAGATTCAGTGAAGCTGGAAGCAAATAAGCAAACACAGATTCATGAATCTGAGTCTAATTCTTGTATAAAGTCTGTTGTTTGTTGAGCTTTTACTGTGTGCTTTTCACACACAAGTGCATTTAAGCCTCGTGTCCTGATGTGGTGGCACTGTTCTTACCCTAGTTTTATAGGTCAGGGAAGTCAGGCTCAAAGTCACACAACTGGAAAGTGGCCATGTAAAGGTTTCTTGTCAAGTCTGTCTGGTTCCAGTGCTCATGCCCTCAGCCACTCTGCTCTTCTTTTTCCCTCAAGGGTGAATTCCCCATTGGACAGATTAAAAATTCATGGAGAATTCTCTGCCATGAGACCAGAACTAAATGGTGTCCAGCTACCATTACTGAACATTTTGATCAAAGATTCCATAGAAGAATCCTGATCAAAAGGGTGAGAATGTAGGACAAAATTTCAAATTTCATGGACTCTAGACTTTCTGGAGCCATGGAGAAAGTATGAACCCTTGAAACTATTGGCCTGAGATAGTCTTTAAACCTTAAACCAAAAATACTTGAACATCAGCAGTAAGTTTAGCTTAGCTAGTTAAAAAAGTCTGCCTTGAGTATTCTCCCCTTTTAAGAACTATCTATGAGTGTGAGATCAAATTGGCAACAGCATCTCAAGATGTGATAGGAACCTAGTGGGCAGTGAGATGATTTTAATGAGGGAGGAACTTAGAGGATGACTTGAAGGCTTTCATCAATATCACTTAACTGTACATATAAAACTATTGAATTGGTATGCATTTTGCATTGTATAGTCAGGACAACAACAATAAGGGAGAGAAAAAGTGGCAGTAAAGAAGCAGAGGTGAATGATTAATTCTGCCAGGACTGAGTTCCTGCTCATATGTGAACTGAGGGGGTGTGGGATGTCTGCCTGCTGGGCTCAGACGCAGTTCGTTTCAGCCACAAAATAATGGACATTCTGCAAGGTTAGGTGGTGTATTCCAACTTCACTGTGACAGGACAGACGTGTCCGAGTTCGCCCTCACGAACTAGATATTTGTGGAGGAACAACTTTCGAAAGGTTAGTTTGAAGACTACAGTGCTGCCTCTAGCAGAACACGCTCTGTCTGCTTCTTTCCTCAGGCTGCAGACTTTTCCCTTCATGATTTTTCCTGAATGTTATCTGGGCCTCTAAAGAAATCTCCCAGCTTGTCATCTAAGGAAGAAATGTGGTTTGATTATTGTCACCTGAATGCTTTTTCCTCTTCTTTCTTACAGTTGGAAGAGACCAAGTGCCCTGCCTCTGAAGCACTACCTCAGACTCTTACTGTTCCCAGAACTACAGACCTTTGCTCAGGACATGATGCTGATATTGAAGATGAGCCGTCCCCAGTTGAGTCGCCCCAGGTGCTGGACCTCAGCCAACAGCCTCATGTCTCAGGTTCCCCTTTCCCATCAAGGTGGGAACCTGGGGTGAGCCCGGGTGCTACTGCTCCTCAACTGTCTGGCCACAGCATCTCTGCACCATCCCCAGTCAGCACTCTCCAGAGCTGCCAGGAGAAGGTGGCACCTCAGAGCTGTTCTGCCAAAGTCTCCTCCTCTCTGGGACTGTTTGTCCCCCAGTCACCCCTATCTGTGGTTGGGGCAGGGCCTCGGCTCCACTGGTCACCACCACCTGTGTCCTCTGAAGGTGGAGCTGCTGGACTGAACAGGAGGCGCCTCTCCTTCCAGGCCGAGTACTGGGCCTGCGTGCTGCCAGATTCCCTGCCTCCTTCCCCTGACCGCCACTCCCCTCTCTGGAACCCAAATAAAGAGTACGAAGATCTTCTTGACTATACTTACCCGCTGAGGCCAAAGCACCTTGATAGCCATGTGCGAACGGACCCTGTGCTGCAGGACTCTGGTGTGGATCTGGATAGTTTCTCTGTCTCCCCAGCAAGCACCTTAAAATCTCCCACTGATGTTGCCCACAGTTGCCCACCAGCAGAAGCCACTGCCTTGCTATTCTCTGGTCCCAAAGACCCAAGCCGTAAGTGCTGGCTCTCTGGAGTGCCCCAGAAGCAGGGCAGCACGGGGGTGCCATCTTGTAACCAGCTTGCATCAACCCCCAGAGCCCCAGGCCGGAGGGCTGCTCCATGGCAGAGCAGAGAGCCAGCCCTGAGGGGCTCGAAGGTCCGGCTACCCGTGGGCATGCACCGAGAGGGCAGCTTTCCCACGGTAAGGACACCGGGCAGAGGATGGCCCTCGACCCAGCCAGAGAGGGAGCAGAGGGCCAGCCAGACAGTACCGCGCCCCACCTGTGTAGCACCTGGATGGAAAGTAGAAGAGGAGGTGGAAAGTGAAGATGAGTATCTTGCCCTGCCCACTCGACTGACACAGGTTTCTAACTTGGTTTCATATCTAGGTTCCCTTCCTACCTTGGTACCCCTGTCTGCTGGGGTTGCTGAAGGACAGAGTTCCCTGGAAGTCTCGGACAGTGATGGGCTGGCTTCACTCCCGTCACACTCTAGCCAAAGCCAGCTTGCAGCTAGGGCTGCACTCCCAGAGGCCCTTCGCTCCTTGGTCAGGGCCCCAGATGCTTCCGGGGAAAGCAATCTGGTGAGGAGTCGGGCCCTGGGGAGGCCCTCTGGACAATTGAGAGCACACTCCTCCTGTCAAGCCATGCTGGACCAGCAGGTGTTCTCAGACCCAGATGCTGACAGGCAGCCTCCCAGGAGAGGAGATGAGGGAAAGGAATCGCTTGTGCAATGTGTGAAGGTAAAGACACTCGGCATTTAAGGGACTTTTCTTCCTCTGCCAGGCACCCTACCTTATTTAATTCTCACCACGCTGTCACAGGGAGTCCTGGTGTGGCACTGTGGGTTAATTCACTGAACTGCAAGGTTGGTTTGAACTGCAAAGTTAGCAGTTCAAGCTCACCAGCTGCTCCTCTGAAACCCTATATAGGATTGCTGTGAGTCAGAACCGACTCAAAGGCATTTAACACCCCTGTCAGATAGCACTGTTCGCATTCTACCATCAGAGAAAGAGGCTCTGGGAGGTTGGGTAATGTGCCTAAGGCTGCGCACTTAGCAGGCAGGTTGTCTGCAGGGCCTGAATGCTTAGCCACCACCCAGCTGCTTCCCCAAACTTCTCACCAGAGCACTTCAGCCTTGAAAGTGTTGTGTGATTGGACACAGTTAGTAACCACGGAGCTGAACAAAGGCCAGAGGCTTGCTGGACTGCAGGATTTCTCAGACTTCAGCATACCTAAGTGATGTGCCTCCCCAGAGTTTTGGACATGATATGCACCATTTTCTAGACTTGTTAGCCTACCTGTTTGTATACGGCAGCGATAAATGTTGTACTCCATGCAAAGGACATCAACATCAAATCTGAATTGGAATCATGGTATTGCTGCCTTGGGAATTTTCACGAATTCTCTTCAGCTTGCCTATCTGGGCTCTTAGAAATGATGTGCAGATGAAATCATTATATCCAGAGCTTCTCGCCATCAGACATGTGAGGAAAGTTCAGGCTGAGTGGCTCTCAACTCAGGGTCACTCTTGCCCCCGCCTCCTAGGGGTCAGTTTGGGGACACGACCTGAAGGTTTTAAGTAGGCTCTTTTATCCTCTCCCCTGAGCCTGCACCGCTTCCTAGCACAGTGGGACTGTAGCCTTCCGTGTGGAGGCCTGGTGTGGCGCTGTGGGTTAATGCACCACACTGCAAGGCCAGTTGAATTACAAGGTCGCTGGTTCACGCTCACCAGCTGCTCCTCAGAAACTCTATACAGACTTGCTATGGGTCGGAACCGACTTAATGGCACTTAACATGGTGCCACAATGTTGCCGTATGCTTCTTTGTGAGAAAAGCCTGAGGTACTACTAGAGCGAAAGTGCCTGGCCGACAGCAATAGAGCTGAGGGGCCTGTCTGAGCTTGGTAGGGTTTGGTGATGTGTTCAAGTTAGTCATGACTATAGCCATTTATTTTCCATAGCAAGAGTCTGATAGAGTGACATGGTGCTGACCAAGGATTGGGCTCTGTGACAGGCACACCCTCTGGGCTGTCCCCCTGCCTCGTCCTTAGATGCTCTGCTCTCACACAACTGTGCTTTCTCAGCCTGTAATTTTTGGTGTCTCTTCAGGCTGAGAGGATTTAGAACAAGGGACAACTTTTGCTGCTGTTGTTCAGTGCCTCCAAGTTAGTTCCCACTCATAGTGACCCTGTGTAGGGTTTCCAAGGAGCACCTGGTGAGCTTGAACTGCTAATCTTGTGGTTCAAAAGGACCTTGCAGTCCAGCACATTTGCCCATGATGCCACACCAGGAATCCCAAGGGTTGCGGAGACAGGAGAAGAGAGGAGACAAGCATCAAGGGAAGAGAGCCCTGGAAAAGTGCCAGGGCAGGCTCCTGGATGTTGTTGTGGTTATGTGCTGTGGAGTCGGTTCTGACTCAATAGCGACCTGGTACTGGGTTTCCAAGGCTGTACATCTTTACAGGAACAGAACGCGCCTCATCTTTCTCCCATGGAACAGCTGGTAGTTTCAAACTGCTGACCTTGCAGTTTGCAGCCCTATTCATAACTACACTACCAGAGCTCCTTGTACCCTTATTTGTTGTTGTTAAGTGCTGTCGAGTCAGTTCCGACCCACAGTGATCCCATACAGGGTTTCCGAAGAGCAGCTGGTGAGCTTGAACCGCCGACCTTGCAGTTCAAACTGCTTTGTAGTCTGGCGCATTAACCCACAGCGCCACACCAGGACCCTTATATAGGGCATAGGAAACACAGCAGTCTCCTCCCACAACCATGACTGACAGCAGCGGCCAACCTACAGAAAGCAGGGAGGGGACTCTCAGGGTATGACATCAAAACCAGACAACCAATATGTGCCTCCAGGAATGTTCCTGGCCCCAAACCTACTTTAAAATATACTGTTTCTAGCTTTGATAGTTAGGCTGTCAGGATGCATGAGTACTCAAGAACAGTTGGCAACTCAACCCTTCAATCTGGGCGCAAGATGGACTGAAGCTCTGCTAGGCTGGAGTCATGCACAGGGGAAAGGCCTTCAGATTTCATGCTGTACAGCATCGCCTCCTCTTGGTCAGATATGAGTGGTGATCACAGTGATGAGCAAACCCTGAACTTTGCTGAGCTACCTAGAAAGCAGCTAAACAAGCTTTCTGAACTCATGGTGATCTCTCAGTTGGTTTTTTTGCCGTCTGATCTTCACGAGGACTCCAAACAAGAGTGACGTCTTGTTCAGGCTTATTGTAGAGTTGTTTGATTAGAGCCATCTCTTTCCCTCTAAACATGCTGACAGAGAGGGCCTACTGTAAGCAGAATGCAGTTTTTAAATGCTGTCATTCCTCGTGATGATGACTAATCCATGTGATGGTGTGCTGCATGAGCAGTGTATTTGTTTCTTGAGAAATTGCATTAAGTAGGGTTAATGTGATGGACTGCAAGGTCAGTTTGAATTGCAGGCTGCTCCTCAGAAACCCTATACAGGGTTGCTAAGGGTCAGACTGATGGCACTCAACAACAACAATGACAGTTTATTAATCTAGCTAAAAGTACAGATTCAGAAATACTAATGAAAATAATAAAGGAAAGCTTTGTGATTAAGACACGGAAAGGGTGGTGGTGGTTGTGTGCCACTAAGCGGGTTCCACCTCAGTGACCCTGTATAGGGTTTCCAAGACTAAATCTTTATGGGAACAGAAAGCCTCATCTTTCTCCCATGGAGGGTCTGGTGGATTTGAACTACTGACCTCGCAGTTCACAGCCCAGCTCATAATCCACTATGCTACCAGGGCTTTTTATTAAAATTTAAGTTATAGAACAAAACTATCAAAATCAAATAACACCCATTCACTAGGCAAACTATTTGTCTATAGAAACTTACAGTAGTAAAGAAATGAAAACAGATGCCAAATAAAAGTTTTACTAATTTATAAACTCAAGTGGCCATGATAAGGCACTTGAAAAGCAACAGAGATATGAATAAACTCCAATTAACTCAAAATTTACAACCTTGGGACTAGCCGTCTACTGTTTCTGTTTACTAGGGCATTTCTACTCCAGTCCAAAAGGAGTGTTTCAGTTCTTTCAGTCTGTGAGAAATATGTTTATAGAAAGACTGTCAAGTTCAGCTGGTTTTAGCAGAGTTCCAAAGGAGTTCATCTGATATCTCTTCTAACAACAATATGCTTTCTTTGTTTGCCTAAGCAGACATTTTGCTCTCAGCTGGAAGAGTTGATCCACTGGCTGTATAATGTAGCAGACATGACTGACCATTTGATTCCACACAAGTCCAGTCTTACAGGCCTCAAGTCTTCTCTGCAGCTTTACCGGGTAAATATGTGGTCCTAGCTTCTGCCTCGTTCACTGTCAGTGTGGTAGTAGCTCACTTACCGGATTGTAGAGTAAAATTTCTTGGTATGTTGTGGCTCAAGTAACTGTTTTACCTGAAATCTAATCAAAAACCACTTTTCCAAATTTTTAATGTTGAAAACTTTTCTAAAAATGTATGAATTATTTCCCTGGCCAAATTGAGTTAGGGGAACATACATTACATTTATCTTCAATCAAAAATACTTAAGGGAAGATAAGAAACGTGTAGCTAGTTGCCTCCAGTAACAATTGCCGCCATTGCCATGAGGCCAGAACTGACTGGTTCCTGGCGACCAGTATTGAACATTTTGATTAAAATATTCCATAGAAGAATCCTGATGCAGATGGGGGAAATGCAGAATTTCAAATTCTAATGGACTCCAAGCTTTCTGGAGCCAAGGAGGGTAGTTGAACCCCTGAAACTATTGCCCTGATTAGTTTATTTAATCTTTAAAGATTATCTAATCTTTAAACCTTAAACCAAAAATCCCCTGAAATCATCTTAAAACGAAACAATAATTTAGCTTAACAAATAGGAAATGTGTGCCATGAGTATTATGCTTTTTTAAAAACTGCATGGGGATCCAAGTGGCAACAGCAACTCAGAACATTAGATAGAACCTTGTAAAGTGCCTTTGAGTCAGTTCCGACTCATAGTAGAACTGTGTAAGGTTGCCGAGGAGCGGCTGGTGGGTTTGAACCGCCAACGTTGTGGCTCAAACTGATCTTGTGGTCCAGTGCATTTTCCTGCAGCACAGATAAGACCATGTTGTTGTTATGTGCCGTGAAGTCCGATCCAACTCAGCGACCCTGTACTTGGTTTCCTAGGCTGTAAAGCTTTACAGGAACAGAAAGCTTCATCTTTCTCTCCTGCCAAACAGCTGGTAATTTTGAACTGCTGATCCTAAGATTAGCAGTCCGATTCGTAACCACTGCACTACCAGAGTGCACCTTAGGACTTTAAGAGGCCACTAATGGTGGAGGAATACCTCAGAAAAGGAGGGTGAGAATAGTTACACAACTCAAAGAATGTATGCCCTCAGTGTCACTAAATGGTCCATGTAGAACTAGAATTGGTGTTGTGCTATGGACACAAGGGTAAGTGAAAAAGTACTGCTATAAAATCATAAATAGCTTTACTAAATAAAAATATCAAAATGTGAAGCTATTGTTTGTCTACATAGTACATCTAGGTCTGTACACTTCTAAAGGCAGTCTTTCCACCTCTCTGACCCTTCCCAAAGAATTCTGCAATCGTCGATTTACACCATGTCAAAATGGCAGTTTGGGCATCTTTGAGGGAATCAAATCATGTTCCTTTCCAGTGTTCTTTGAGTTTGGGGAACACAAAGAAGTCTGAAGGGGCACAGTCAGGGCTGTAGGGTGGATGAAGTACAGTTTCCCAACAGAATTCTCTGATGACAGACCTTGCTACCCTCAAACAATGAGCAGGTACACTGTTGTGGTGGAAAAAATTCCTTGGAGCAAATTTACTGGCCCTTTTCCCACCATTGCAATTTTCAGTGTTCTTAAAATTTCTTCCTAATCAGCAACCCATGATCATCTTGTGTCCTTGGAGAAAAACTATCAAATGACCCCTTGGTAATTCCAAAAGACAGTCATTTACCTTGTGAGCTGACCTCTCTACCTTGAATTTGACTGCCCCAGATACCCACAGAAGCCCTTGTTTTGATTGGATCTTACTCTGGATCCTATTGGTAAATAAGACTCATCCAAGTGCGATTTGTTCCATAAAATCATCTTCATTAGCTTCCATATTGCGTACAAAGACTGATGGGAAAATCAGCTCTGAGCTAGCTGCTCTTCACGCAGTGTTCTGACACCCTCCTTTTTGTTGAAGGCACCCTAAGGTGACAGTGTGTGCATAGCCGTCCACTGGTAACAGAGACATGCGCACGCACGTCTGGAATAAAACCACATATGAACTAGAACCCTAGTAGCAGTACTTTTTGACTTACTCTTGTAATTCTCAAAAACAACAGCAACAAAATAAAATGATGTAAAGATACGAGTAATTTGTAGCATATTAATTTTTTCAAATGCCTCAGGACTGGTAAGTATGGAGAGGCACTGTCCATTCAGCAGCCACATTGTTGTTGTTCAGTGCTGACTCAGCCACCTGAGGAGCGGCTGGTGAGTTTGAACTGCTGACCTTACACTTTTTTGTCCACTACTGATCCTAAAGCACCACACCAGGAGTCCACATACAGCTATTTTAATTTTTTTTTTCTTTTTAAATGTTTTATTGTGAATTATGTGATAGTTTACATGGGAGAACATTAGTTTTACATTCGTTCTATCGTATCGTCTCATTGCCATGGTTACAATCAGCTATTTAAATTTAAATCTAATTAAAATAAGTGTAAATGGAGATTCAGCTCTTCATTTATACCAGCCACATTTCACATGTGTGTTTCACCGTGTAGATGACAGAAGTTCTGATCAATAGCCCTAGGATTCCAGTGGGTTTTGGTTTATTTAGGGCGTTTTGTTTTTTGGGTTTTTATTGCCGTTTTCCTTAAGATTCATTAAGGTTCTGTTTTTTAAAAAAAAATCTCTTTAATTTGTGGGTTCTGGTTAACTTAGTCCTAGAACAAGCACATTTAGGGTAGCTTGTTTGAACTGCAAGGTCGGTGCTTCAAGCTCACCAGCTGCTCCTTAGAAACCCTATACAGAGTCACTATGGGTCGGAGTCAACTCGACAGCACTTAATGACAACAAATGGTCTAGTTGGAGTCCTGGTGTGGCGCTGCAGGTTAATGTGCTGGACTACAAGGTTGGTTTGAATTGCTCCTTGGAGACATATACAGGGTCACTATGAGTCGGAACTGACTTGAGGGCACTTAATGACGACATGTCCTATTGTTCTGGCATAATTATAGGTTCCCCTTTCAGTCTTAGAAAGACCCTTACTGGGATGATACATTTTGTCGTTGACATAAGTATAATGTGGCTCCATAGGGTAAGCACTGGACTGTGAACCACAAGGTAATTGTTTAGAGCCCACCAGCCACTCCGCAGTAGGAAGGTGAGGCCTTCTGCTCCCACTGAGATTTATAGCCTCGGAAACCCCATACGGGCTGGTTAGGAGTTGACAGCGAGTTCAGGGCTCTCAATGACAAGAAGTATAATGTGAGTCTTGACAGAACTGTCAGCTTGTCGAGTTGACCAAACTTTCCTACTAACTTCCGGAAGGCATAGAGGTCTTTGTGGTCACATAGTAGTCCAGAAAGGGCGTCCTGGCAAAGTTCTTTGCACTTTTACAACTTTATAACCTGACCAGGTTTTTGCCAGAAAAGTGCCTGGAAGCTGCACTCCGCACCCCACCCCACCCGACCCCAGCTCCAGCTGTTCAGTCTCTGTTCTGGCTGAAAGGAAAGCGAGCCTTTGTTTTCCAACTTTGAAAGCCAACTAACATTTCAGGGACCTTGCCTATTCCCAAGGGGGTGGTAGGAATACCCTGGTTAAGAATGCTGTTTCCTACTTGTGTGACGATTTCCACCAGTCCCTTTGCCCAGAGTGAGCTGGAGGAAGGTAAAGCTGAGGCCGAGGTATGTAGTGAGCCCAAAGAGGTGCCCCCAGGGTAGGTTCTGCAAAGGAATTGCCGGCCTTTGGCAGGTGCCATGACATAAGGCCCTCAGAGCACAGGGCCAAGTAGAAGAGCTGTGGGCCACTGTCTGGCTTTGTGGGGAGAGCTGAGATCACAGCCAGAAGTTACCCTGCAGGTCAGTGACGCCTTCCGTGTCCCCTCATAGCTGTGTCATAGGGTGGGACTGCACTGCCATCCTCTCCCTCTGGAGGAGTGGTAGTGTGGTTCATGCCTGTGCATGTGTGGTTCAGGCTGGGACTCCTGCTTATTAGTATGAGGAAAAGCATGTGCAGAGATGAGCACTCAGTCCCATATCTTAACTGGCTCATTTTCTCAGATACTAAGTATCAGGACAAAGGAAAACTGAAGGGTGACAACTAGTAAATCCAAAGTCAAAATTTTTTACTTTTCAGTGTGAACCACCAAGTTCTTCACCATGGACCATGGATTAGAAGACACTTCTCAGTAGCTAAAGAACATCAAATACCAATAACTATATGAGGTTTGGAACTTAGCTGCTTAGGAGACTCCCGGATTCCCTTGATAGAGGCCCAAGGGGACTCTGTCCTGTAGGTGCTGCTAGAATGAGGTACTGAAGGGAGAGGCATTAATTTAACAATAGATTCTGTGTGGGTCTCTGTGCCACTGCCATACAATTGATTTCCATCTCATAGAGAACCGTACCCAGGGTTCCAGTACTAAATCTTGTCATGAGCAGAGAGCTTCATCTTTCTCCCATGCAGCCCTGGTGGGTTTGAACAGCCAACTTTGTGGTTAGCAGTGCCCTCTAGAGTAGATTAGATCTTGTTTTATGCTAAAGGGAACCCTGTTTAGTGAGGCCGATTCCAAGGTGTCAGTGAGCCACACTCAGCCAGGGAAAAGAACTGCCGTCAAGTGTAAATGTAAAAAAACACTGACTGCATTTTCTTTGGATTCAAAGAAGCTGAAGTTAAACTGCTGTGTTGTGTGATTGGGGGGGTTTGCAATGTTGGGGAATCAACCTCTGTGTGGTATTCATTTTGAATAACTTTTATTACAAAGTGGTCATAACGAAGCTCTTTTCTTTTCTGCTTTAAGCAATTTAAGAAAGATATCGATGAACACCAGTCCCTGACGGAGAATGTCTTACAGAAAGGAGAGCTGCTGCTTCAGTGTCTACTGGATAATACCCCAGGTGAGGTGCCTGATTGGCTTCCTCTCAGCAGCAGGCCCAGGGGTTATTGGTGGGGAGTCAGTAATGGAAGGACTCTTCCACACAGACCCAGCACCTCACTATCACCTCCCCTGGGCTCCTTTCTCTTCCCAGCAGCCAGCTCATTTGACCAGCAGTCTTAGTCATAAAAGTAAGCTGATTAAAAAAGTAAGTTTAAGGCCTGCAAGAACTACATTCTGTTCGGCTTGGCTTTTATTTCCCCAGTGGTGGTGTGTGTGTGAATCCGTTTTTAATCCACTGTTCTTAGTCTAGGGCAGCCTGTTCTCTCCAGTTCTGGCTGATTTCCTCCCTATCTGCTTTATGTTAAGCTTTGAGGAAGGGCTTAACTCAGAAAAGGATTCTCAGGGATCAGTTGAAGGAGGTGAAGAGACAGTGTAGGGGGCAGTGTGAAGGGATACCATGCTCAGATCTGTTTTGCAGGATGGAATCCCAATTTAGGAAAGTGCAAAAATTAGATTTCAAGAGTACATCTGAGTATGCTTGGTGTCAGGGATTTCTAGTCATTATTCTTGGGGGAGGGGGGGACATGATAGGATAAGCTACCAGAGTGGAAAGTGCTGGCCTGAAAGGTTGTGTTGTTGTTAGGTGCCGTCGAGTTGGTTCCAATTTAGCAACCCTGTATAGGGTTTCCAAGGATTGGCTGGTGAGCTGGAATCACTGACCTTGCAGCCCAGAATATTAACCCACAGTATCACCCCAAAAGAATACGTTGTTGAGTACCACTGAATCAGTTTTAACTCATAGCAACCCTGTATAGGGTTTCCAAGGAGCAGCTGGTGAGCTTCAATCATTGACCTTATGGTTCAAACCGACCTTGTAGTCCAGCGCACTAACCCACAGCACCACACCACACCAGGACTGTGCCAAAAGGACATAGAACCTACCCCAACAAAAGTCAGCACTTTATTTTCCATAAAACTGAACAATCTAGTGCTAAAGAAGCCTGGCTGTTTTAGAGAGAATGTTTCCGGTGTTTTACACTGGAAGCAAACAGCATAAGCAAAGTTGCAGAAGAGGCAGCGAGGAGGAACTTACCTGAAGCATTGGAGATGGTGGGGAACAGCATTTCTCCATTTCGGCACTTCTACTCTTTTGAGTTGGAATCTGTTGTGAGGAGTTGCTGTTCTTTTTCCAAAGTCTTTGTGAAATATCTCTGGCCCCCTATCCACTGGATGTCAGTAGAACACCTCTTTTCACCCCTAGAACGTCTCCAGACATTGCCAAATGTCCCTGGGGGCAAAACAGCAGTGAGAAACACCAGTGTGGAGGGTTTTCAATGGACTGGGAGCTATTACGGTACAGTTGGGGGTGGTGGTTTGTGTTCCTTCAAACTTGTTTTTTGTTCTTTGTTGGGGCAGTGCTGTAAAGCACTGGACTGCAGATCACTTTGAACCACAAGGTCAGTGGTGTAAACTCACCAGTCGCTCCTTGGAAACCTGATACAGGGTCGCTATTAGTCGGAACCGAATCAATGGCACTCAACACCTCCTTTATTACTTGTACTTACACTGGCATTTACTGAACACTTATCATATGCCAGACATGGTGCTGAAGCCTTTGACAGATCAATCCTTTTATCTCATCACAGCCCTGTGAGGTAGACCCTGACTACCTTGCCCTGGGACCAGCTAGAAGCAGAGCACAGCCTGGCTTGAGCCCACACACTGGCCCCCTGCTGTACCATGGGTCTAGAAGTGCAGGGTCCTTTTAAAAGCTGTAGACTATTTCCATTTAAAAACCAATTCAATATTATCTGTAAGCAGTCTCACTTTGCTATTCTTTCAAAGGGGATCTGAAAAGTATTCTGCTGGCTAAAATAGGCGGCTTTGTGGTTTTCTGCTATGCATCCAGATTTTGAGATCCACCTACTGTACATGGCTGTTTTAAGGAACTTGTCTTTCCCTTGGATGCTACACATCTGCGGTCTTCAGGAGAACGTAGTCAGTCAGTGAAGGCAGTGCCGTACTCTGCTTCAGCCTTACCCTAAGGATGATGATAAGCCTGTCTAGCCATGGGCCACAGCACCAAAATCAAGCAGGCTCTCTTAGTACTTTTTGACACTGTTGCATAATCACACAATCTGATGGTTCTTAAAATACTTATTATAGTGGATCACAGGTTGTCTTGAATCTGCTGACATTAAGCTAAATCATAAAAATAAAGCCTGTTTGTATGCTCAGTGAAAAAAAAAAAAGCAAAAATCTCACTCAGAAAAGTTTTTATTCCAGTCTCGACTTCCCCCCCTGGAAGGTGAAAAACAAGCTCCAACTCAAAGGTTCAAAAAACCAACAAAACCCCAACCTTCTGCCATGGAGTCGATTCTGCCTCACAGCAACCCCATAGGACAGGGTAGAACGGCTCCATGTTACCAACGTTGTATATCTTTATAAAGGAGTCCTGGTGTGGCGCTGTAGGATAAACACTAGACTGCTAACGGCAGCGTCGGCAGCACTTAAAAGCCACCAGCTGTTCCTGTACAGGGGCACCATGAGTCGGATCCTACTCACTGACACTCAACAATCTTTATGGAAAGCAGCCCTGGTGGCACTGTGGATCAGACGCTTGGCTGCTAACCACAGGTCAGCTCTGTAGCGTCGTTTTGAGTCAGAGTCAACCTGACGGTGTGGGTTTCATTTTGGTTTGTTAGTAATCTTTATGGAAGCAAACATCTTCCATTAAAGTAACTGGTAGGTGCAAACTGCAAGCCGTTTGGTTAGCAGCTGAGAACTTTAATCACTGTACCAGCAGAGCTCAGAAAACTGGACCCCCTGCATTCTGACAAATCATGGGACTGAACAAAGGTCTGATGAGTCACCTTGGCCACATGGCTCCGGTGAGCTGTCGGGGCAGCACTTTGCCCTGATGACTTGGCACTGCTACAGTCTACCAGGGCGGATCCCAGGACTGCTCTCCCAGTTAGTACCATCTGCAGATAGGCAGCTTCCGCTTTCCCTTCCTTTGCTGGCTGATGGTGCAGCTGTGGGCAGGAAACTAGGGAGAGCATTAGCACAGCTGATTCAGGCCCAGGAAGCTCCCAGAGGCTTTGTGCTGCACAAAAGGAATCCACCTCTAAAAGAGAAAACAAGTCTGCTCTGCAGGATGCTTTCTGGATCTAGCCCATCCCTTCTGCAAATGAACTTTTAACCTAACATTCTTGTCTTAGACTGCTGCTGCCAGGTAATTTTCTAAGTCTGTTCAGTTGGAACTCAAAAGAAAGGACTGACAGACATTCCCAAGTACATTGCTGAAACCACAAGCCAAACTCACTGCCATTGAATTGATCCTGTTTGTATGTTGTTATATACCTTGTAGCCAGTTTCAACCCACAACGACCCTGGATAGGGTTTCTGAGGAGCAGCTGGTGAGCTCGAACTACTTACTGACCTTGTGGTTCAGATGACTTTGCAATCCAGCGCCTTAACCCATAGCGCCACACCAGAACTCCTAATTTGTATATGGTTTCTGAGACAGTAAATCATAAGGGAGCACATTCCCCATTTAAAGAGGAGTGGATTCTAATTCAAATTGCCCTATGGGGTTTCAGAGACTAAATCTTTACAAAAGCCAACTGTCACCTCTTTCTCCGAGAGTGGCTGTTGGATTTGAACTCTGCCAACCTCTTGAGCACTGTAACCACGGTGCCACCCAGGCTCCTTAGACCCCTATACATAATACTAGCATATAGTCCCCCAAGTAATACCAAAGTGGAGCCAGTGGATCTCCTCTTAGCTTTTAAGAAATAAACAGCATAGATCCTCCAATGCCTGGAGAGCCCTTGTTTAAAAAAAGTCAATGTTCTGAAGTAACTGCTATGTTCCTGTTTTGTGCAAGCGAAGATACTCTTATATAAATAAGCTTCAAAAAGCCTCAAAAAAACGGAATTTTTCCATGACCATTCGACGCGCTCTCCTATGGTCTTTTGGGAAACATTTTCGAGGGTTTTTGGTGTGTTGTGGGTTTTTTTTCTTCTTTCCTAATTGCTCTCATTTCCATTTGACAGTTTTAAAGGATGTCCTGGGGAGGATCACAGAGCAGTCTGGTGAACTGGAGAACCATGCAGATCATGTGTATGACTCTATCTTAGCATCTCTGGACATGCTGGCTGGCTGCACCCTCGTCCCTGACAATAAGCCATTGATAGCAAAGGAACGCCAATGTGAAGGGGTATAGCCAGGTAAGCAGAGCTCCTGCTCTAACCAGTAGCTGTGTCTTAGCTTGAGCTAAGAGCTTTGAGACAAGTGAGATGGGAGAGGACAGCCCATAATACTCAACAGGAAGTCACTAGCTTTGCCAAGAAGGTTTTAAGTCCGCTATGGTGAGAAGAGTCTTCAGCTGACAGCAGTGCTTCCCGTGACTGTTTCACTTCTCCCTGCTGTTGGCCGAGGACCAGGCGTGCCCCATACCATTTCTATAGCAGACACTTCACTGACCACCACTACTCCCCACCACAAGGACAATCTGTCTGTTGTTGTGAAGTGCCATCGAGTCGGTTCTGACCTATAGCAACCCTGTATAGGGTTTCGAGGAGCAGCTGGAGAGCTTGAATTGCCAACCTTGCAGTTCAAACAACTTTGCAGTCTGGCACCATTAGCCCACAGCGTCACACAATTTTGTCTGTAGCTACCCTTGTATTTCTGCACATAGGGCCAGGATTAGGCTGCCCCCGCGCTTCTCACACAATTCATTTGGCACCTATCTCCCAGCAACTCCCAAACAGGCAGATAGCCACTATTTGTGGTATACCACTTCCTTCAAAAAAAGATCCAGGGGATAGTAAGGGGAGGCATGCCTTGTTAAGTGCTGTTCCAACTAATAGCAACCCTGGATAGAGTTTCCTAGGAGTGGCTGGTGAATTTGAACTACCGATGCTGTAGTTCAGATTGACCTTGTGATTAAGTGCTTAGCCTAGAGCGCCACGCCAAGTTAAAACCATTTAGTACTACTATTTTCTTTTGATCCCTGACAGAGGACTGAAAGGTGCCTGTGGAGTTTCAATTGTCTAGCACTTTATGAGAATCCACAATTTTGGGGGAACTGCAGGGTCCAAGACTGGAACTGTGGTGGTGGTGGTGCTGGTGGTGGTAGTGGGGTTAGGCTCCGACTCCTAGTGACCTTAGATGTCAACCTCACAATCCTTGCTACACTTGAGCCCACAGCTAATCCATCTCGCTGGAGATCCCCCTTCTTTTTTGCTTACCCTTCACTTTACCAAACATGATATACTTCCCCAGGAACTGGTCCCTCCTGACAGTATGTCCCAAGTATTGAGAGATGAAGTCTGGCCATCTTAAGGAACATTCTGGTTGTACTTTTCAACACAGATAATTCATACTTTGACACACACACACACACACACACACCCCCAGCCAATATACGCTTATAGTACTTCGGTATAGAATATTTTCTAGGTGAGAAGAATAAAATCTAGGTATGTTACGAGCATAGAATCCCTAGATTTGCATCAGAGTAATCTGAGTCATAGTCATTTGAGTTCTAAAATGTGGTGCCATCATCCTCTCAACATGATGCCGGTAATAAATGCTTCTCTTTTCCTTTCAGGCAGCTTCTCAGGCCCCCAAAACCTGATTTGACTGATGGGAGTAATAGCTTTCAGGACATTCTTGCAAGAGCCATTTAAAAGAGAAGTCGAGGACAATGAACTCTTCTAGCTTTAAATGCCTTTCTCTTCCTTCCATGAAGTAAGGGCTATTGAGTGACTATTTTAAATGAATCCTTCCAAATGAAGGTTTTCCTTTTGGTGCTTCTCTACAATGAGCATGTGGCTTTCCAAGTTTGATAAAGTAATCATTAAGACTGTCTCTAATTAGGAAAAGCAGACCAAGCCTCTAAATTGTCCCACCTGCTGAGGTGGCTCCAGGAAGGGGACTAGGGGAAAAAAAGTAACCATGCTTAGTGATCTCAGAGGGTTCAAGAGACCGAAAACAAACAAATGGTTGGCTTGGGACTTTTTATAAAGTGAAGCTTAGGTTACTGTAAATTCCTCTGAAGAACTTTAACAGCAGTTGGGATGAACAGCCTGTAGAAATAGATTGCGACTATTAGGACTCCTTTTGCCATAGGTCGGAACTTAAGGTTCCACCTTCCTAACTACTATTGTTAAGGGAAACGTACCCAGTGAGCTTCAGAAAGGCTAAGGAGCTAATGTTCAAATTTAAAAGATTACTTCTGGTAGGACCCACCCCCTACACACATAAGATGACAACTGGTTAGTCACAGAAGCAAAGGCTATGACTAGTGAAGGTAAAGGACATTCTTGCTTGGGAGCTGACATTGAGTACTTTGATTTGGGGGTGGGGATAGGATATGGATCAACCAATCTATACCTTTGTAAAGTTACTACTCGTTAACTGTACACATTCTGCAAAAACAAAAGCACTTTCAAAAATGTTACTACTGGGCCATTAATGACCATAGAAGGAAAAACAGGCATTGGTTTTTCCTTATATTTTTATTATAATAGGCTAAGACTTTAAAAGGTTGTTATCTGAAAGTAGAACATTCCTATGAATCCCTTCATAAACCAAAATGACAAAAGTGAAGAAGCAATTGCCATTAATCTATATGGGGAAAGTTTTTGAGTATTCCAAGACTACAAAACTGATCTGCCCAATTATTATACCAAATAACACATAAACCCTAAAATAACACTACATACGAGGGGACTTGGAAAGTTCATGGAAAAATGAAAAGATAATGTAAGTTTTCTACAAACTTACGGATGCCACCTTCAATATTCAGACACAGATCACAGCTCTGGGGACTTGCTGCTGAGATGCTGAGTGGTTCCGGGGAAAGGAGCTTGGTGGCCTACTCTCTGCTGCTCGGGATACATCTTGGCTTCGTTCTTCAAAACAAACCAGTAAACTCTTTCACTTTTTGCCTCTTGTGGAAATCCTTGGTTAGTAAAAAGAGGTACTGCCATAGCTCTTTCTTAGAAGCAAAGTCATGGACGAGCAAACTTGAAACGCGGAGGCTACCTGAATGAGGAACTACAGATTTCCCACCCGCCTTCAAACCCCTTCCAAACTGTCATTTGACACTTTAGGTTAGATTTTTTTGAGGTTTATTAAGAATGATGAAATCATTCTGAACCCAAAGAGGGTGACTTTTGAGCAATTATTCTCATAGGCAGACATCTAACCATCTTCTTTAAAATAAATTTAGGGCTCTGGTTTTGGGGGCTTAGCCATAAAATACTATTACTACTTCTATACGAACTTAATGTTCTATTGCCAAACGTGACTTGCTGCTTCAAAATTTCTTGTATTTAAAGCCACTGGAAAATGAACCGCTAAATTCTAATACTTAAAATTAGCTATATAAAATTCAGTGGTGTCCAATCAGTTTCAACTCATACAGGATTTCAGAGGAGCCAACTGGTGGGTTTGTGGTCCACAGTCCAGTGCTTATCCTACAGCACCCCACCAGGAGTCCATGAAACTCAGTAGTCATTGCTGTGGTATTGTTTACCATAATGCTTAAAGGCACAATCACAAACTCACTGTTCTGCTGTTTCCATAAACATCTTTTTCTGTTAAAGCCGCCTTAGGAAATAATTGTTATAAATGTAAAATATTCTTTAAAACCTAGGAGTGGTTAGAAAGACAGACACGTCTAATGACCTGTTTTAAATTGTTATATTTCATCTCTGTGATGTGGGAACTGGGAACATGCCTTACCTGGGAATAAGTTATTGAAAAGGCTTCAGCAGTTGGACTCATTTACTACTGTATTTGAAAAACATGAAAAGAAGTCTGTTAAATTAGCATATAAATTCAAGATGACCACTCTACAGAAAAAAGTTGTCCTGAATGTAGCAGTTTGAATACAAAATACAGTATTTTATTCTCACACAACTTAATTAAAATCAACTTCAACTGACAGGAATTTTCACTGATAGGAATTATTTTGAAGTACCTTATTTCCTGAGACTACCTTGCACATAACAACAACAACAACAACAACAACCTTAAGAGTATCTGAGGTAGTTTTGTTCCTCCCCTTTGTGTCAATAAAGGATGCCAATTCTCTGGACCTGACTGTGAAGGCCACAGAAGAAAATCAACCCAACTGCTAATTACCTTCAGCAGAGCTTTAAGAACCTCCTTTAAAACTTGAGATGAAATGGTTTCAGCCTAGTTTATCACCGCCAATGGCATTTCCATGTCCAGACATGCAGGGTTAGCTTTAAACATCCTGGCTTATAAAATCCCAGCTTTACCCAAGGTAGTATTAAAATTAATAGAATTTAGGAAGTGACAATTCTAAGAACTGGACTAGCTGGGAGACCTGAGTTTTTGTAGCTTAACTACATACGGGAGATGATGTCAATACAGAGCCATTTGGGAGCTTCAAAAGGAACAAAAAGAAGAGTTGGCTATAAAATATGCTAGAATGGCAAGACGTTCACTAAAGGAAACTCCAATATATGCAAGCAAACACTACTCACACCATAACGGCTATCGTTCTGTTCTGCAAGATGGCCAGAGATTGTGATGACTTTGATTCAGAGTGTCTTCAAAGCAGTCACTTATGTTTTTTAATGTGGACAGATTAAATTCGCAGCAGCTTGAAAGGTTTGTACTTGAAAGTGGTAGTAGAAATGAAAATACACATAACACTGCACTTACAGAAAAGTAACAAGTAAACCGTCTTGTGCCAATCCCAGTCTTGACTGCCATGGGGCAAAGAACAGCAAAATGTTCAAAGCTAAGTATGTAAATATGCTTGCATCTTAAATTGATACAGTGGGGTGTGGTTGGTTTTTGTTTTTTTTTGCTAACTCACCATGAATAAGCTGGGGGTTTAAACTACATTTGCTGTAGAAACTGCAATGCATAATATATTGCATCTAATGTTGGAATCTTTGAGCTTCGTCAGGAAATTGTTAAGTACCTTTGAGTAGATTCTGAGTCATAGCGACCCTGTATAGGATTTCTAAGGAGCCGGCTGGTGAATTTGAACCACTGATTCAAAATGACCTTGCAGTCTAGTGCCTATCGTATAGCACTGCACCAGGATTACACTAGTTAATGGATTTTACCCCATATACTGTATAGATAAGGTAAAAAAAAAACAAAAAACAAAAAAACAAATTTTCGAAGCATTAAAAGATCTTCACCTAAACAACTATTAGTAAATTCAGGAATTTGTTAGTTGCCTTACATGAGGTTGAAGAGATCCAACAAGCACATCTATAATACAAAGTAAACTATGATTTTATTGTGAAATTCTCATAGATGGAAAATTGAATATTCTGTCCATTTCATTTTACAATAATCTTACCACTTATTTTTATACCATTGTATTTCAATTGCCTGTTTAGTGAAAAATAAACCTTTAATTTTTGGCTTTGTTTTCAGTTTAAATTTTTATCGTTGAATTGAAGGCCCCCACCCTAAAATGTGTTGCCCAATAGTCACATCCTAAGCTCCCATGTGAAGAATGTTTTGGCTACTACTACTTCAACAACCCCAAAGAACAAACCTTGACCGCAATCACTTTAAAATGCCAGTATTGGTGAGCGGTTTTGTTTCCCACAATAAAAACAAAACCCTAAGATCTTAATGGATATTTCCATTATGTGCAAAACTCTACCCAAATAAATATATTTCTCTCACTTAAAATTCCCACCCTGCATTTATGCTTTCGGTTAATTTTTTAGGGATTTAATTTCTAAAATTAGGACAAACAGTGAAATTTACTGCTTTCTACATCAACGTTTTAACTTTCCTCCAATTTATGCTATACAATGGCGGAGGATAAACCAGTTGACACCTGACTCAGCCTAGAAGAAGGAACACTAGCACACGTGTTAGTCTGCTTTCAGCCAGTTAGGAAGAGTGTGCTGCTGCCATTCTACCACAGGTGAGTAACAAATGTAGATAATAAATGAAGCCATTCCACATGGTTTTAGAGAAGGATAGCAATTATAGGCTAAATAGTATACATTCTAAACTTACTTGTTTTCCATACAATTTAATTTTCCTGAACCGCTAAGGCTGGTTAAATCCTGAACCGCACAGATACCTCTTCGTTTCATCAGGTACTATGTGGAAAGCATACTGGATGCGGCTCTAAGATGCCCTGGTTGCACACACAAATGGCTTGAGTATAATGCAAGGTTATAATTCCCTTTAACCATAGAATTAAAACAATATTATCACCATACAGTTGGATATTACTTCCAATAAGTACAATATTTATTAAACATATCTTCAGTTGTTTTGTTACATAGTGTGCAACAAATTACAATATTCTGCAGCCACAAATTATATGCAGAGTATGAAGAAACTATTAATCAGATAGTGTAATCTTTCCATTTATAACTCTACAGGGAAGAACTAGCAAATCAGATCTTACATATAACATCTCACTAAACTTTATGCATGGAAAGTGACAGACACTGGTAGTGCTGTTTGATACAAAATGGCTGAACTTCATCTTCAGAAGACTAAATAAACCCGACATCTAAACATGCCAATATAAACATCAAAACAAAATATATTCTAACCAACCACAGGGAAACGGTCTGATATCAGGAAAGCAACAAGGATTACACACATTATTTTATAAACCAGCACACAAAGGTTTAAAACAGTTCTGAAAATGAAGTTAGCTGTCTTGAGTCAAGGGAATAAAAAAAAAGTCAGTATTGACCATTTACAATCTCTGACCTTTGTGGAGACGGTAAGAATCTGTTGTAGTGCAGCTACATACAGTACAATTCAGGCAATTTTGTTTTTTCACTTGGGTTCAGATTGCAAATTCATTGCTGTGAGAAAAAGACGGAGGCAAATTTTAGCAGCAACCTCCACCTGACTGCTTGACTGGAGTGCTCTGAATTTTAACATTGGACTTCTCTGCACCACCAGCTGTTGCTCCAGGGCCCATCCGCTTTTTAATCTCAGCTGCCATTGTCATGAAAGACTGTTCTACATTCGTTGCATTTTTAGCACTGGTTTCCAAAAATGGAATTCCAAGGGAATCAGCAAATTCCTAAGAGAATAATAAGGCACAATTATTGGTTTTCATTTAGTTAATTTCCACCACCTGAAATGTAGAATGAGGAAGAATTGCATTTATTGGCTCCAAACAAAACATTAAGCAAATTCACAATCACTGTACTTTGGTGTATATCTGGCATGGATAATGGATGGCACGGGACGGGTAAGGCCTGAGAAATCATTTGATCTGGCTGACAAGGCAACCGCAGTTCCAGCCACCACACTGTTGTTAAGCGCTGACGAATCGGTTCTGACTCAGCCATCCTGTATAGGGTTTCCAAGGAGCACCTGGTAGATTTGAACTATGGACCCTGTGGTTCAAAGTCCAGGGCTGTTCTTACAGCACCACACCAGGAGTCCCCAGCCATCACACTGTTACTGCTAAGTGCCATGGCGTCAATTCCGACCCATAGCAACCCTGCATAGTTTCCAAGGTCCAGCTGGTGAACTTGAACTGCCAACTTTGCAGTTCAAGCCGACTTTGCCGTGCAGCACATTAACCCACAGCGGCACACCAGGACTGTTAACCATCATGTTGTTAAGTGGCACTGAGTCAGTTCTGATCCATATCGACCCTGTATAGGGTTTCCAAAAAGCAGCTGGTGAGCTTGAACCTCTGACCTTGCTGTTCAAACCAACCTTGTAGTCCAGCACATCAATTTGTAGCACCATGCACAGACTCCTAAGGGTAAGTTAATTAAATGTCTGACCAAATATAGCAGGCGAATGTTTAAGTTGATAATTTTGTATGGCCCATGAATAATGTTATAAATTTCTGCAGGAAAAAAAAGTGTCCAGATATAGATATTTAAGAAGATGGTTGTGGTAGCTGTTGACTTACTCTATATTCATACAAGATTCAAATTCGGTTTGATAAACTTTGAACATACCTTTGCTGTTGTGTAGTCTACTACTTTCTTTGTGGTCAGATCACATTTATTTCCTACCAATAATTTGTTGACATTTTCACTGGCATAACGATCAATTTCCTGCAGCCACTGTTTAACATTATTGAAGGACTCCTAAAAAGACAAGATAGGAGAATAATATCTTTCTGGACAGGGCTGCCCTAATGAAGAAGCAAGCAATTCAACAAAGTACCTTTTTTGGCCTACCACAATTAAGAGAGAAGAGCTACTAATAATGCAAAATCATCATCACTGGTGTTAGGAGATAAACGGACACAACTGTACATGTCTAAATGAGAAATCTGAAGGTGATGACTGGAGAATGAAAATACATAGTAAACTAAAACTTGGTTGGTTATATGCTGTAGAGTCAGTTCTGACTCACAGCGACCCTGTACAGGGTTTCCGAGGCTGTAAATCTTTACAGGAGCAGAAAGCCTCATCTTTCTCCCGCCGAACAGCTGGTACAACTTAGTTTATGCAAATTAAATGCAATATAAAACTTTTTTAATTTTATACATTTTTAGTTTATGAATAAGTAACTTGCTATCAGTTGCTACTAAAACTGTTAAGATGCACTTAAACAAACAGTTCCAAAACAAAGATGTTAGTTTTCTTTTCCTAATTATATTTAGAGGATAAAAAAATTCAATTTTAAAATACTTAAAATGACTATGACTTGAGATTTATTAGTACCATGTTGCTAAGGCCCACTCAATACTTCTAGTTATCTCCTAGTTAGCTATGACTGCACAGCTGAGATTTACCATGCTACAAGAAAAAATAGTCCTATTATTTCAAAGTTTATTTTTTCTTCCTTTGAACAGAAGGTGATCCTGAAATGGGCTAAATTTCTGACCAAAAGAAAAGTTATGGTCCTTGGATCACAATTCTCTACAATCCTTCTAATACCTCGTTGTTGTTATGTGTTGTGGAGTCGGTTCCAACTCATAGTGACCCTGTACAGGGTTTCCGAGGTTGTAAATCTTTACGGAAGCAGAAAGCCTCATCTTTGTCTCACGAACAGCTGGTAGTTTCGAACTGCTGACCCTGAGGTTAACAGCCCAATTCGTAATCACTATCTTCAGATATTCATTCTCCTCTTAAAATCTTTCTTCAGCTCATCTTACTCAAATACTTTACTTCTGAACCACATCCGTCATAGGCAGAAACCCCTAATCTCACATTTGGCAATTCTGACAAGTCTAATTGCCAGACAAAGTCCTAGTAATACTTGACACCAACAACGCAGTCAAACGAAATCCACAAGTGCCTACAAGTTCTTACATGAATAATCAAGGTTACTTACTGAGCAACAAATGAAACCAGAGTATCAATAGCCATTTGTTTTGACCTAGAGGTCTTTTAGATAAGGGGTAAGATCTGTTAGCTATCACTAGGAATAAGAATAATTACAAAACGAGAATTAGTCCTATTAGCTGAAGGATAGTACAACTGTCTCTTAAAAGCAAATGTAGAGAGAACAAACAAGATGGTGGAGAGGGTGGAAGTGCAGTGAGGAGCTCTGTCAGCAACAACACAGAATACCGGACGGACCAAGCAGGCTCAGGGGATGGTCCCCAAACTCTGAACCACACGTAAAGGAAATATTTCGAAGGTTGGAAGGATTACAGCTAGGGGAATTTATAATAGAAGCAAGAAATCCATTGCTTTCTAGTCCAGGATGCTCAGCTGCCCCCGGAGCCGCCATCTTGGGGAGGGAGTAAGCAGTGGAAGGATCAGAGCAGGCACATACGCCTGACAGAACCTCAGCTCTTCATTTTTTATTCTTTTGGTATCTGTTCATTGGTCTCTCATCTGCACACCTCCATTCTGGTTACTAGAGGGGGTGCTTGAACAAGTGGACAACCCACCACCAATCCCACGGGGTTCTACTACACATGTGCAAAGATCTCTTCAAAATTTTAAATGACAGTTCCCACTAAAAACCAAACGAGGAGAGAAACAAACAAGATGGCAGAATGGGTAGATGTGCAGTGAGGAGCTCTGTCACCAACAATAACACAGAATACCAGACCAAGCAGGCTCAGGTGATGGTCCCAGAACTCTGAACCACATATAAAAGAATATTTAGATGGTTGGAAAGCTTACAGCTAGGGGAATTTGTA